GAACCTGCCTCAGCCTCAAGCACCATTGCATCTTGCTTGTGTCCGTCTGACACCCAAGCCCGGCCAGCCAAGGATACGATCTGGCATGCATGCATACATGCATCTTCTGCCACCTTGGCACACGAAGAATGCAGATCGGTTTCTGAACAACAGGCATAAGACCAGCAAAGAGCGGCCACCTAGAGCGGTGAGATTCGAGGAGCGGGCCGCACCGGCTGTTTCGAAGCGAGCGGAGCAGGTCCTTCCTGGCACAAGCAAGCGGCAGCGCAGCCTAGCTACCGTTCGAGGCTGCGCATGAAACCGCGATGCATGCACACCCGCAACGACCTGCATGGGAACCAAGCCAAGCCAAGCGCTTCACCCGACATCAAAAAAGTGGCCGCCGACAACGGCAGCCACACCTACACACCTGCCACTGAGGCCATCGCACGACGTCGACGAGGCCAAAGCAGACACGGCGCCGTCGAGAAACGACGAATTCACCTTCCCAGCGACGGTGTCGAGCAAGTGACTCTTGGGGCGATCGTTGATCCGAAGCTCTGAACGAGCCGCGCAGGTCGTGACGACAGGCGACAGACGATGACGGTCGAGCTGCCGGCGGGGTTGTCGAAGAAGAACATAAAAATTACGGACGTCGACCGCTGGTCAGAGGACCGATGGCATCCAGGTTCAGCGATCTCGACGACCAAAAGAGATAAGCTGATGTCGGTGGCTACCGGATGCCCGAGACGTCGGTCGTCGGTCACCGTCGTCGTTGCCTTGCTTGGTCGCCCGGTAGTCTGTAGCTGCCGTAGCTGAGACATCGGCGACAACGTCGTCGTCCGGCGCAGACCGACCAGCAGCAAGCAGCACACAGGCCAGCGAGGCCCGACAGGTTGCTGCTGCTTGGTTCCTGCAATCGAGGAGGCGATGCGTGCGGGCAGGCGGGCAGGCGGGCAGGCGGGCAGTCAGGCGGCTACGTAGGCCATGCAGGCGAACCGAGACGAGGCGGCATCGTGCGCCCCTCCCTGCCTTGCCTACCTGTAGCCCAACCCAGCCTGCTCAGCTTGTTGATTTTTAGTACCCGCTGCAGAGGCTTCCTTCTCGAAGCACGCAAGCAAGCAAGGAGGGAGGGGGCGACTCTCCGTCGACGGCCTCCGCGGCCGTGCGCGTGTGATGCCTGCAGTAGCATAGGGACGGGCCTGGCCGGGACGACACATAGCCAGGGCGGTGCGAGCCAAACGACACCCTGACGGCAGGCTACCCGACAGAAGCAGGCGAGTCAGCTGGTGGTGTGCGTACATACTGTACCTTGCACCCAGGCCCCGTGCCGTGGCAATTCCCATGCCCTATGCACCGCAGCTTTTAGCCTGCCCTGTGGCTCCCTTGCTTGCTGCTTTGGTACAGAAGGCGCAGTAGGGCGCGCAGGTGCTCAAGTGCGATCTACCAGAGAGACGAGGAGCGCGACCTCGCTCGGTGTACACGAGCAAGACTGCCAGATGCCAAGCCGGGCCAGTGTGCAAGGGCGTGCGCTCTGTAGCTAGGTCTGTGATCGGCCTGGCCTGGCAACCCGACCGACGGCATCGCTCCCGCCTTGGTACGGCGCCCTGGTTTGCTCACTGGCGGCAGCAAAGGGAGGCCGGGCTGTACCTGTGCGTACGAGAGATGAGGTGGGCCGGGTCACCCGCCTTGTTCAACGTTCGAGGCCTGGCATGCGCGATGCCTGCGATGCCATGCTGGTATCATCGTCTGGACGTGATGCCTGGTGCGCTCGAGCTCGTCGCGACTGCCTCCGGATGCTCCCGGTCAACGGGCAGAAGAGAGGATACACTTGTTTGCACTGCTCCGCTCAGCCTGGTCCAGCAACAAGGAGCAACCAAGGTGGGATTGCCCCGACGTGTGCTCCGGACGGACAAAGTGTCGTTGGGCGAGCCAGCAAGTCGATTCGTACAGTCGCGCTCTCCCCCGGCAGACGCGCAAACGCAGTGCCCAAAGACGGTAACGATGCTCGCCGTGTCCTCGGTGAGCATGGTACCCAGTCTTGGGCCATCGTCGGATGCCAAATTCTACAAGACGGCGGCCAGAGAGAAGCTCGCAGGCCTTGCCCGCTTTGACGGTACGGGCGCGTTCTCATGGGGAGGGGAAGGGCATGAAGAGTTCATGCTCAGCGATCTTCCATCCGATGCCTGCGCTCTCCGAGTGTCTGATCTCCTGGACCGCCACCGGCTCTATCTCCATCTTGGCTCTTCTGTCGAGTGTCTCGGAATCCATCTTGGGCGGCAACGGCAAACGCTCCGCGATGCAGGCCGAGCGGGAATACGGCAGTGGGTGGCCGAAACCGACTCAACGGGCTGGGGGATGTCGGCGGGTCCAAGGTGTGTCATTTGACGCCTCGACGGGCGGTCACGAGCGGAGGCGGCACTAGGCACGCAAAGGCGCAGCTCCATGGACAGGCCAGGCAGGCAGGCGGTTGGTCAGACAGGCAAGCGGCCTTTCCTCAGGCCTGCCAGACTGCGACACGTCTCTGCAGAGAAGGGGCGACCAAAGGCAGCCAAGGAAGCCGATTGTGCCCTTTGCCCTGGACGCGCGTGCCTGATTCGACGCCGAGACGTACTGTGCCTAGCCTGTTTGCCCCAGCCCCCAACCGACTAGCCCGCGGCGCCGCCGCCTGATCGCCTTTGCCTAGCCACAGGTACGCTAGCCTCGGTCACGACATCCTGCGCCGCCCCATGGTCGATCGACGAGCGGAAACAAACGCCTCTGATCTGGTCGGAGTGATGGATGGATGGGCCCGACCTCTGTTTTTGAGGTGTCGCCGCTGCCAACCCGCTGCGGGTCTCCTGCGCGCGCCTTGCTAAGTAGCTGGACCTCTTCTGGATCGCTGCCCGAAGGAGAGCAAGACTAACTAGAAGCGCTATTGTACGTAAATCTCGTCAACCGTCGTCCCGAATCGACGGGCGGCCCCATGATGACCAGGAGTGGTCCAGAGCAAGAGGGAGGGAGAAGAGACGGGGCCGAAGAGCCTAGCTGGGGGGCGGAGTAGGAAAAATCGCAGAGGCAAGCGAAGCAGGCCGAGGAGAGGTCACCTCGCTCGTCTGCCCCTGTGCTGGATCTGGCGACTGACGAGCGTCGGCGTTCGTCAAAGCTGCAGGCAGGCGGGTATAGGCGCGGACGGCCGGGTGAAGAAGCGGCGGGTGTCTTGCTTGGTTCGCGGGCGGCCGGACTTTGGTACATACGGTACAGGTACGGTAGCTGCCAGCCGGGGCAGGCCTCGAAATTGGTTGATCCCCGCCGTCGTCTGCAGCCTGCCTTGATGCCCATCCAGGCAGAGAGGAAAGCCGCCACCCCAGCTCCAGCTTGCCCTCTCGCCCGCCCAGCCCAAGGTTCCCATCCCAGCAGCACGTAACGTTGCTCTGTACGAAGTGCACCAGACCAGAAGCTTGAACCGCAGAGGTCGTGCGATCGCCTGCCTGGACGCTTCGACCGGCTCAGCAACGGACGGCTGGCTACAGGAGCATGCATGTACATACCTAACCCCAGCTTGGCATCGCCAGGACGAGGGAGGGGGTGAGGGCCACAGAAGAACGTAACAGACGGCGAGGCTGGGCAGACTGCGCATGAGACCTGGACTTCTCTCTGGAGCTCTTCGTGCGCATCTTCGCTCTAGTCAACTTCTCAAACCCCATTCGCCCGGCGCCCTGGCGCTGTGTGGGTATATCAGCTGCCCTCGCCCAGCTTCGAAACAGACGAAGTCCGGGTACCCACCTGCATCGACCGTTCGCTCGCTTGCTTCGGGTAACAGAGGGCAGCGCATATTGGCGCCTCGCAGCTTCAAGATGCCGCTGTGGGAGCGCAGCGATCCAGAGAGATCGTCCACCCCATCGACCGCCGCGGCGAGCCTGGTCGGCCCCGGGTTCGACGCCGTCGTCGTCGGCGTCGTCGTCGTCGTCGTGCTCCTCCTCCTACGGTATACGGTACTCGGCTCGCGCCCGTTTCGCCATCGGAACGACCCGGATCCGCCCCTCTGCCCCGGATCAGCCGAGGACGAGGAACGGCGCCGAGACCAGCCCTCCTGCAGCTCACACCGAACTTGCCACCGGCAAGCCCTGTTGGCCCTTTGCCGATCCTGGGTCCTACCTTGACGAGAGGGCGGCGGTTCCACAGGCCGGGCGCGTCTGCCGCCGCCCGCTCCCCGCTTGCGACCTTCAAAGCACCGCCGCCCGCTGCGCCCGCCACCTCTTGCCGCTCCCTCGCTCGCTCTGTCTCTCTGTGCGTGTCTCACTCCCTCTCTCTATCTCTTCTTCGATGGTGTGCCCGCTGCAACCTGTCACCCGCCTGTGCGCAAAGCGGCCTGCCCTGCCCTGCCCTGCCCTGCCAGGCCCTGCTCCGTCCTGTGCTGTGCTGTTCTGTCCTGTCCTGTCTGGCCCCCATGCACGCTTCCCTCGCCAACTCCGTCGTCCGAGTGCTCCACCTTGCTTGCGGCCGTATCGGCGCCCCAGGTCCCGTCGACCAGGGAGGGTATATAGACGAACGCCGCCCTGTGTCCCCGAAGCAGGCGTCCGTGCTGGCCATCGTCCCTCTCCCTCTTCGTTCTTCGCTCTTTGCTCTTCGCTCCGTCCTCCCCCTCAAGAGGTTCCAGCACAACCGTCTCCTTCCTCGACAGCAACGAGCATCGGATCGTCCCGCGCGTCTCTTTGACGGATTGCGTTTCCTTTCCCGCTCAGCCCTAGCCTCGCTGTTCGTCACATCCAACCCTCTGGGATCCTCCGTCGAAGACTTCGGTTCCTCGGAAGGGCCGACAAAACGTCCATCAGCCCGCCTGCCTCGTAGATCCGCCATCCGTACACCTCGCCCAACGACCCAGCGACATCCTATAGAAGAGCACGACGTCGCGCCCCTTTGATCCGTCGCAAGCTCGTCTCCTCCGCCCGGCCTTGCTCTGGACCTCGACCGTGCCGCACGTTGCGACGACCGGGGCCCAGACTACCCTTCCGAACGCCTCAGCTTCACCTATCTATAGCATGTTTGCGCCAGCGCCCGTCCGACTCGAGCCGTCATCTTACTCCCACGCCGCCGCCGCCGCCGCCGCCGCCGACAACACCTCTGGGATCAGCAGCGGCAGTCAGCGCTCCGACAACCAGCTCGCCTCGGTCAACCTCTCCTTTCCGCCCATCGCCAGCCTGTCCGAGACCATGAACCACGCCTACGGTGGGCGAGGCGGCGGAATGTCTTCGTCGGAAGGTTCCGCCGGCTGGAGCCGATCCCAGGACGACCGCGGGGCCTCGCTGTTTGCCACGCCTCGCGCCGTCGCGGCTGCCGACCCCGGTCGCCTTCTGCCGCCCGCCAGCAGCCTGGTTTCGGGTGCCGGTAGCAACGGCGGCAGCACCGCCGTTGGCCCCTCTGCAGCGGGCGTCGGCCAGTACCCGCCCTCTTCTTCGGGTGCCTCGGAATCGCTGCCACCCCTGCTCTACAACAACGGCTACGCCGCGGCGACGTCAGACTCGAACCTCGGCGGCGGTGGCGGCGGCGGCGTGGGCCGCTCGTTCTCGGTCGAGTCGCTGACTTCGCCGGCGTCGGACCAGCAGCCGTTCCTCTCCTCGGCTTCGACGTCCAATCCCAACGACGAGGCCTACCCGGTCGGCTACCAACAGCACAGCGCTCAGCATGCCCATCACCACCACCATGGTCGATCCTTCACCACCCCGAGCTATTCGATGCATCCTGGCCGTGCCGCCGAGGCAGCCGGAGGCTCGACGCACCTGTCTACCAATCCCCTCTACTTGCAACCCTACCAGCAGCAGCAGCAGCCCCAGCAGCAGCAACCCCACCATGCTCCTCCCCAGCAGACGCTGCCGCATCAGCAGTACCGCGGTCATCATCACCAGCAGCTGAGCTACCGTCCCTACGATGCGCCCAGCTCGTATCCCCCCATGGCCGGATACGGCGGAGGCAGCGTCGTGCACTCCAACGGCATGCACCCCTACGGCGCCCATGCCGCCTCGCTCGAGTACCGCTCGCACTACTTCAACCCCTTCGAAGTCAAGCACCGCCGACGCACCACCAAGAGCCAGTTCCATGTCCTCGAGGGCACGTTCAAAGGTACGTCGTCGCTGCCTGAGTGCGTGTCGCCAGCGTCCGCGCCCTGGCTGATCCCCATCCCACCTCCCGCCCTTCCCTCGCGCTTTTGCGTCGCCCCGTGTCGTCTGGCTCGCACTGTCGGTGCTCTCGTCTTGGCGCTCGTGCCTGCCGAACCCTCCGCAGAGATCCCCAAGCCCAATGCCGCGCTCCGCAAGGCGCTCAGCGTGCAGCTCGACATGCCGCCGCGCGCCGTCCAGATCTGGTTCCAGAACCGCCGGGCCAAGGCCAAGGCCCTGGCCAAGAAGGAAGCCGCCAGCAAGGAGGCCGCCAACGGCGGCGGCGGCGGCGCAAGCGGCGAGGGAGGCGACCACGGCGAGGCGAGCAACAGCGCCAGCGCCAGCGGCTCTTCAGCGCAGGCGGGCGCCGCGTCGTCATCGTCGACGTCGCATGCCGGCAACGACCCGCGCTCCCGCCTGGCGCACTCGCACTCTGACCTCGGCCTCAGCGGCCATGGCAGCTCGTCGTCGACGGTGTCGGGCTACCACCACATGGCGCATGGCAGCGTGTCGTCGAACGCCTCGGACGACGGCCAGGGCCCGTCGCAGGCGCCCTACGGGGCGGGGTCGTCGTCGGACGCCGGCTTCCTGCGCATGCCCGGGCAGCACACGGCGCGGCCTTCGACCATGTCGTCGACGACGTCGTCGTCGATGGCCACGCCCTCGTACTCGGACCGCGGCCGGTTCGCCC